TTTGCTCAAACTAAAGGCGGCCGGGATCCGACAACGTGGAGACAGAGGCCGACACTCACAGGACCGAAGAGAGGAATCGGAAACAGAATCAATCGGTGGGCCCTCCTGTTGATCTCAACAGGGTTTGTTTAACGGAAATGTTAACGCCCACACGCGTGGGCATTTGCATCTCGCCCACACGCGTAGATCTGCATCCGTTCGTGAGCGCATGAATCTTGGCATGTTTTTAGTACCACGTAGGATTGGCCTGGTGTGTGGGCGTTCATCCGGTCGCTCACACGGCCATTTCACCACTCGGGAGGGGCTGGTGTGTGGGCGTTCAACAGTTTGCGCACACGTCACTTTCCATGCGCGCACAAGGGCTAGTGTGTGGGCATTTGCCATCTCGCCCACACGCCCGTCTCCTCTACCACACCCAAGCTGCTAGTTGCCATATGTTTTGCAGCGCACATGGCAACTGCCCCAGTGTGCTTTATAAGCAGGTGGCAACTCTCTTTTTATCCGAGTTGCCATGTGTTTTGCAGGGTACACGGCAACTGCCTAGTGTGCACGTTAGCAGATGGCAACTCTCTCTTTACCGAGTTGCCATGTGTTTTTGCATGATACATGGCAACTGCCCTAACGTGCACGTAAACAGATGGCAACTCTTCCTTTTTACATGGCAACGCCCTAGCATGCTTGTGAGCACATGGCAACTCTCTCAACTGCCTAGTGTTAGTATGTGGCAACTCCTAAAGTTTTGAAATCATGACAACTTACAGTAGACCACACCATACATGGCAATTGCAGTTGAGCAACTATGGCAACCGTAGTTCAGCGACATGGCAACTGCAGTTAAACGAACATGGACGAGGGTCTGGACCATGGCAACTGCGGGCGCGTGGTGACTGTCACGCGTGGCGTGCGGGACCACGATGTACGAGGCCTGACATACAGGGCGTGTGGGCGTTATCTACTTCGCCCACACGCACGCGTGTGAGAGGGATCGGGAGGAGAAAAAAAAGGTGTGTGGGCATTACTTGTTTTGCACATTCGTAGGTGCGTGGGCTGTTTCTCTTATACACCACATAAAATGTGTGGGCAGCCTCCCTAACGCCCACACGTATGGCACTTATCGGCGTCCTTGTTTAAAAGATGAAACCTTACCTTTTGCTACGAATCCAATTATTATACATGTGCACCATCAAAAAGAATTTATTCTACATACGTCTTTAACCATACGTTGACAGTTGTTCGAATATTATTTTTTAACACAGTACAAACATTCAGATGCTCATGCAAACGCATGTACATTCATCCTTAAGGTGCATACGCACACCTTATTTCTATAAACACCTTCTAAAAACTGAAACGACATATTTCTGAAATAAACTTAGAAAAATACGAGCATCACTCTTAATTCTAGGACTAGAATCCTGATTGACTGGTTCCACCATAAATAACCAACTGAGTTAGGCTAAAATGCTAGTAGTATATATACTTCGCCAATCTTGACAAATATTAAATGATAGTACTACTATAGTGGTCCAAGTTAAAACTTCTGATGGCACACTTTTTTTTAAATGGTACAAATGCATATGCACATATACCCACCTTTATAAATACACGCACACACTTTTTATCCCTACAAGAATCTTGAGTAAATAGCATAAAACTACTACTTTACAAGCTAGGGTTCCAAAAAAACTACATGTTTTTATTTTTTCTCAGATAACTACCAAGTGGGTGGTCGGCTGTTTCAAAAAACTCAAATCATCGAGTGATTTAAAGTCGATCACGATTATGACAGGTCAGGCCCGCACTTAAACGAACCGCTTGGTTGACCGTTAACTTACAAGTGGGGCCCACATGTCAGTGTCTCTACCTCATATTCAAACAAAAAAACTTCAATCCCCGGTTCTTTTCCAAATTTACAAAAATGTCCTCACTTTTTACAAAGCAGCCCCTATAAACATTTATATAAAGCAATCAGGTCCCTGCTATTTTTCTAAAAAAGCAATCACGTCCCTGTAGTTTTTCTGAAAAAGTGATCGGGTTCCTGTTCATGGCCGCCGCCGCGCGATGTCGTGCTCCATGCCGCCGCCACGCACCTGCAGGACGCCCTCTCCTGCTCCTTGGCCGCAGAGACGGCCATTGATGCTGCTCCTTTGCAGCCGCCGAGCCGCGACGGCCTCTGCTGCTGCTCCTTGCAGCCGCCGAGCCAGGACGACCTCTATTGCTGCTCCTTGCAGCCCACCGAGCCCCGCCTCGCGAGTTGGTGTGGCGCGTGTCCTCGACTGTCGGCACCCCAGCCAAGTTGGTGCGGTGCGTGGTGGTTTCCGGTGGCGCCCCGGTCGATCTGACGCATGCGCCCTGGCCGTCGGACCTGGCCGCTTCCGGCGGTGGCTAGCTGGTGGCTGCGAGTTGCTGGCTTCCGACGGTGTAGGAGAGAGGGAGGCCGAGGATGGGTGTCGCCGACTTGGAAGAGGACAAAGTCGCCGGCTCAGGAGGGGGTGTGTGCCCTGCTCGTGCTCAAGAGAGAGTTCAGGGGAGGGAGAGAAGGAAGAGACACTGACATGTGGGCTCCATTTGTAAGTTAACGGTCAAATAGACAGTTTGTTTAGGTGTGGGCTCGACCTGTCAGAATCGTGATCAACTTTAAATCACTCGACGATTTGGGTTTTTTGAAACAGCCGACCACCCACTTGGTAGTTATCTGAGAAAAATTAAAAACATGTAGTTTTTTGGAACCATAACCTGTAAAGTAGTAGTTTTATTCTATTTACTTGAGCATCTTCAAGAGACTGAGACCACATCATTTTAAGACTAACGAATTCATCACATATGCTTTCGTAATCGATGAGAATGTCTCCTCCAGAACATCACCGACAAGTTTGAAATAAATGCAAAAAAATTGCAAGCATCAACGTTAAATCTAGGATTTGAATCTTAGTGGACTGGCTCCACCACACATTATATATGTTTCGTAAAATGCCATGTGTGCATGCGTAGCCAACCTTTATGGTGAAATTGGGTGAAGAACCCGTTCACATTGTACATCGTTTTGTTTAGTCCTAATCATTTTGTGAGTGAGCTTGTGTGCATATATGTCCACTTATTAAAGCCATATATGATCTCAAGCAGGCTCTTCAAATATGGCATGCTCGACTTGCTTATGTTCTTCAACAATATGGCCTTGTTGCTTTCACCGCTGATACCTCCTTGTTTATCCTGCATCGGCTGGATATTACTCTTTAACTCATTGTTTATGTCAATGACATCATCGTGCTCAGTTCATCCTCATAGGCTATTGATTGTTAGGAGTTTGTTGTTAACAACTTTGGTCCTCTCCATTATGTCCTTGGTATTGAAGTTGCTCGACGTTCTGGTGGGCTTACTCTAACACAGCGTAAATATGCACTTGATCTTCTTCGGCATGCCGGTATGATGAAGTGCAAGATTGTCGACACTCCTATGTCTGATGTTGTCAAACTATTTCATGCTGATAGTTCTCCTCTGGACTATGATGATGCCGGTACCTATAGGAGTCTTGTTGGTGGCTTGTACTATCTCACTTTTACATGTCTAGACTTGGCGTTTGCTCTCAACCGTGTATGTCAATTTCTTCACTCACCTACTGAAGATTGGTGGTCTGCTGTCAAAAGGATCCTTCAGTTTATTCATGGTACTCTAAATCATGGTATTCTGATGCTGATTGGGTCGGTGATGTTGGGGATAGGTGATCCACGTGGGGATATGCCCTCTTTCATGGTGGCGACCTGATTGCTTGGAATGTGCGCAAACAGGTTACGGTGTCTCGCTCTAGCACGAAGTCTGAGTACAAGGCGGTCACCAATAGCACATCGGAACTTATCTGGGTTTGCTCAAAGAACTTGGTTTTGACAGGATTCTCCACTAGTTATATGGTGTGATAATATTGTTGCCACTTATCTCTCTTCCAAATCATTTTTCATGCGCGGACAAAGCACATTGGGATAAATTTTCACTTTGTTCATGAACGAGTTGATCAGAAGATGTTGCAAGTTCGGTTTGTGTCCTCAAAGATCAGCTAGCCGACATATTTACAAAACCGCTGCCACTTGAATCGTTTCAGGAGTGCAAACACACTCAACATGTTTCCCATAGTTGAGATCGAGGGAGGCTGGCAGAACATGTAGATACATATGTATGATATAATTAGATTAGATTAGATACTAACGCTACTTTGCATCTATCTCTTTGTAATCCTCTGACTGACGCCACCCTTTCTATGTGTGAGTTAGTCTCCCCAAACCAATCTTCCTACACGTTTTACATTGAGCACATGGACACTGTCACTTGGCACCTCAAAAGCTTCGTTAATGACTGGTGGAATAAAAAAATCGACAAACAAAACCCCAATAAGTGTGCTATGGCCTCCCTCGTTATGCTTGTCTCTTGGACAATTTGGAACTAGAGAAATGTTCGGGTGTTCCGTCACATACTCACATGTGTGCGCCGCCGCCTATCCTTCTAAATATCATCTTAGAGGAGGCCAAGTTTTGGGTTACCGTGGACGCAAAAAACTACTACCTCTGTCCGGATTTATTAAGCCCCCTAATATTTGAGCCAAACTTTGACCATTCATAAGATTAATGAATAACTTTGACCATTCATAAGATTAATGAAATATAGAATATGCTACAAATAATCTTTGTGACATAGTTAAATTTGTTGGTCAAATATTAGCCCATAATGAGAGGGGCCTAATAAACCCGGACGGAGGTAGTAGCATATTATTTTACATGAATAATTGCCATGTTGTGATTGCGGGTCTCTTGTAAAACTTTATTTTCTCCTTAAATGTTTTTTGAGTGAAATTATTTTCTCTTCAATTAATAGACGGGCCATTCTTATGCCTCCGTTAAAAAAAACTCAAAAACCTTTTCAGTAAACCTCCCCAGGAGGCAGCTGCCAGGCAAATTCGGCGGACGGTTGGATGCAGTCTGGGGAGCATACGACCTCGCCGTTCAACGGCCGAGATGCAGCAGAAAGTAGCCGCTGGTCTCTGGAGTCTAAGGCCGTCCTCCTGTTCGTCCCGCGCCGCCGCATTGCCTACCTCCCCCCTCCACCCTTCCGGCCTCCTCCTCCCACCGCAGCGGCGGCCGCCGCCTCACCGTTTCATGTCCAGGCTCCTGCCCCGCATCACCGCGCTCCCAGGCCGTCGCCGCAGCCACAACCCGATCCCGCCCGCCCTCGCGGAGTCGCTCGCGCGGGTCCTCGCCAACCGCTCTACCAATCCGGCCTGGGCCCGCTCCCTCGCCGCGCTCCTCCCCTCCCCGCTCTCAGACGGCAGCCTCGCCGATGCCGTCGTCTCCCTGCGCGACCCCGACCTCGCCCTAGCGCTCCTCTCCTGGTCCCGCTCCCACTCCGGCAGCCGCCACCATGACGCCGACAAACTCCCGCCGCCCACGCCTATCGCGCATTCCGCCCTCCTCCGCCTCCTCGCCCGCTCCGGCCGCTTCGACGCCGTCGACTTCACGCTCCAGGACATGTCTCTCGCGGGCGTCGCGCCCACGTATGCTTGCCTCGGCGAGCTTGTGGCTGCCTACGCCAACGCCGGGATCGAAACGAAGGCCACCGAGATGTGCGAGCGCGTCAGGGGGCAGTATGGAATGCTCCCTGCGGCGATCCACAGCAACTGCCTGCTCAGACTCCTTGTGGAGCGGCGGCAGTGGGACGACGCCCACAAGCTGTATGACGAAATGCTTGCTAAGGAAGGTGGCGCGGATGATTACAGCACATGTGTGATGGTCCGGGGCCTTTGCTTGGAAGGGCGGGTCGAGAAGGGTGTGAAGTTGATTGAGGCGAGGTGGGGGGCAGGGTGCGTGCCAAATACTGTGTTCTATAATGTCTTGATCGATGGGTATTGTCGACGCGGCGACATGGGTAGGGGACTGTTGCTCTTGGGTGAGATGGAAATGAAGGGGATATTGCCAACTGTGGTAACATATGGAACTCTTATGAGCTGGCTCGGGAGGAAGGGTGATCTTGAGAAGGTTACCTATTTGCTGTCAGAGATGCGGGAAAGGAGACTGTCCCCCAACATCGAGATTTATAACAGTGTCATCGATGCTTTGTGCAAATGCCGGTCTGCACCACAGGCAATGGTAGTCTTGAAGCAGATTTTTGCAAGTGGCTGTGACCCTGATGTCATCACTTTTAGTACTTTGATATCTGGGCTCTGCCGGGAAGGGCGTGTTCAAGAGGCTGAGCGTCTGTTGAGGGAGGCCATTAGGAGGGAGGTAAACCCAAATCTATTCAGTTATACGTCATTGATTCATGGCTTCTGCATTAGAGGACAAGTGATGGATGCATCCAATTTGCTTATGGAAATGATGGAAAGAGGGTATACTCCTGATGTGGTCACATTTGGAGCCCTGATTCATGGTCTTGTTGTTGCTGGGCAAGTCAGTGAGGCATTGCTTGTCCGGGAGAAGATGACAGCGAGACAGCTTCTCCCTGATGCTAACATATATAATGTACTGATTAGTTGCCTATGCAAGAAACATATGCTCCCTGCAGCTAGAAACCTTCTAGCAGAGATGCTCGAGCAAAATGTCCACCCTGATAAATTTGTTTACACCACATTGATTGATGGGTTCATTAGGAATGAGAGTCTTGACGAGGCAAGGAAAGTATTCGAATTCATGGAACAAAAGGGTGTCCGCCTTGATGTTGTTGGCTATAATGCTATGATAAAAGGATACTGTCAGTTTGGAATGCTGGATGAGGCAATTGTATGCATGAACAACATGAGAAAGGTGAGGTGTATCCCAGATGAGTTTACATATTCCACTCTTATCACTGGCTATGTTAAACAAGGCAATATGGGTGGAGCTCTAAGGTTACTGTGCGAAATGACGAAAAGGAGATGCCAACCAAATGTTGTTACATACTCATCATTAATAAATGGATACTGCAAGCTAGGTGATACAGATACTGCAGAAGATATATTCGCAGACATGCAACTTGAAGGTCCATTCCCCAATGTGATAACTTATACCATTTTAATTGGTAGCCTGTTTAAAAAAGATAAAGCGATGAAAGCTGCTGCATATTTTGAACACATGCTGATTAATCATTGTGCTCCTAGTGATATTACGTTGCATTGTTTAGTTACTGGTCTCACTAACTCTATGGCTTGTATCGTCAGTTCAAACTGCAGTGGTACTGTTAAGATGCATGACAAGGGTGCTCTTTTAGACATATTCAGGGGTTTGGTTAATGGCAAATGGGATCCAGGGAATGCAGCATACAATGCTATTATTTTCAGCCTATGCAGACACAATATGCTTCGTAACGCATTGGACATATTAAATAAGATGGCTAACAAAGGCTACTCACCGGACTCTGTCACTTTCATTGCACTTCTTTATGGATTTTGTTCTGTTGGCAAATCAAGGGATTGGAGGAGCATCCTACCTAATGACTTTCGGCCAGATCAACTTGAGATAGCCTCTGGGTACAAAATACTGTTTGATCAATATGTAGCAAAGTCAGTTGGTTGTGAAGTCTCTAGTGCTCTGCGGTTGTATCTTGAAGAATGTAGATCCTTAAAACAAATGGAGCATAAATTTACTTGTTCCTGATATTGTTCCCGGCACTTGCAAATGAGGGATAACACTTATTTGATTTTCAACCTCAGCAAGTGAAGACCAAGAGTAGAATGGTTTGTAATACCATATCTACAGGACATTTCTGCCAGCACTGGTAATGCATGACTAGATCTCCAGTAGAAATGGTCTCCCTGAAGGTAATAATCTTGATATCATATTGATATATTAGAATAGACCTTTGCTTGATTCTCCTGTGACAAATTCTTTCTGGCTTGCTGACATTCCATGAGACCATGACAATATGAGTTTAGAATTTTAATATTGGACATGCAAAACTGCTAAAATATCACCTTCAGAACACATTGTTAATTTGCTAAAAAACTGGCTCAGCATACGTTCTAGTGTACTAATCTTGTGATCACATCTTGCATTTTGGTCAGGTCAGGACAGGAAGATGCCGATTTCACATTCACATCTATTAGGGGAGTGGATGTCCTTATAAATATCACCGAGTGATTGCTCTTGATCAAGAAAAAAAACTTCAAATACTCATCTGATGTGACTTTAATTTTCTGGTAAGGTGGATTCTCAACAAGTGCTCGTGCAATTAAGCAGGTGAATGAACTGTGAATCAATTGGTAGAGCACACACTCAGGGTTTACAGGGCATGGTGTTACTGATATATCTATTGATACTGGAAGGAGCTCTATGGAACTGCTTTGGCTGTTGGAATTTAGTGTGTACAAAGCCACAAACACTTGGCAGTAACAGCGGCCATATTAGAATGCTGACTGGTCTTCCATGAGCCTACTGAGTTGCAAGGCAGAACTTGGATTTCTTCCACTGAGCTAATGGAGACTGATGAAAGCAATATTTTTCATTAGACCAATACTAGCAAGGAACAGAAAACCAAGACAGCTAATTTAACTGAAAGTTCACAGGTAAAAAAAACTGAAACCTGCAGGTTGCAAGGGTATCAGGTGTGTTCCTGATCTGCTGAGGCCTGGTGCTCTGTCTCTGGCCTAGAGGCCGAAAAGTTCTGATTGGTACTGGAAAAACTATTGATTGATGACAATTCTATGAGACATTTAGGTTCATTTCAAGGATTTGTGGCACTTTAGAGCATAGAGCATAGTAATGGCCGGAATAACAGAAGGCAACACATGTTAACTGTTAATGACTTTCGAATGCTGTACATCACTAGCGACTAGTGGAAGCCAAATACGCGTAAATAAAAAACTAATGTAGACATATATAATCACTCCTGCGCAGCACTATTCATCTGAAATTAATGACCAATTAAAACATGTTTCATCTTTGTTGTGGATATAGAGGGTGCTTGGATCCAAGGGACTTATTTTAGTCTGACTAAAAATAGTCTCTTCTAAAGTTCCAAGCACCCCTGACTAAAGAGGGACTAAAACTAGTCTTGAGACTAATTTATTTTAGTCAGAGGTATCCCGTATCCCTACTAAGAGGGTGCTTGGATCCAAGGGACTATTTTTAGTCTGATTAAAAATAGTCTTTTTTAGAGGCTAAAGTTCCAAGCACCCCTGACTAAAGAGAGGCTAGGACTAGTCTTGAGGCTAAAAATTTTTAGTCATAGGAAACCTACTAAAATATGTATTAGCCCTTTCTCTCCTCATTTAATTCATTTCCTTTAACACATGCGAGTTCTGGATTGGAGGGTTTGGAGGATAATAAATGCTCAATAACTTGATTTTAGTCTCTTTAGTATTTGGATCCAAGCATGGGTGAGGCTAGCAAATTTTAGTTCCACTACTTTTAGTCATGGGAATAGTCCTCTAAAACATATCCAAGCACCCTCTAAAATGTGGAATAGTCCTCTCTCTCCTCATTTAACTCCTTTCCTTTAACACAGGCGAGTTCTGGATTGGAGGGTTTGGAGGATAATAAATGCTCATTAACTTGATTTTAGTCTCTTTAGTATCTGAATCAAGCATGGGTGAGGCTAACAAGTTTTAGTCCCACTACTTTTAGTCATGAGTAGGGCTGGAATTCGAGCCGAGTCGAGCCAGCTCGGCTCAACTCGCTAGAGCTCGTTTCGTTAACGAGGTAGCTCGACTCGACTCGTTATTATAACGAGCTCAAATCCAAGATTGGCTCGACTCGTATAACTCGCGAGCTGGCTTATTTAGCTTGCTAAGCTCGTTAAAGATATGAACATAAAATCCTCAAATATTAAAAATATGATTATGTATATATTAAATATATATATCACTAAACAATAGTAATTTCCTTGTAACGCATGAATCTCCTAGGCGGCTAGGCCTTCAACAGCTAGGCCTTGTGTTGTGCGCCAGTGACATTGGGTGCTGAGTGGCTGATTTTTTTTGCATTGGGAGTGTATGATCTTTTGTACTGAGCCTAACGAGTTAGACGAGTACTCGTGAGATTGGCTCGTTTAACTTGGTCTGTAAACGATCTTAAACTAAAGCTTGGCTCTTGAGTTCGAGTCGATTCGAGCCGAGTCACGAGCTACTCGTTTAGCTCGCGAGCTTCGAGCTTTTTTTCCAGCCCTAGTCATGAGACTAAAACGCATCCAAGCACCCTCATAACCATATAGGAGTACTATGGTTCAGTTGTTTTTATTGTTAAGTTTGCAGAAAGTTATTGGATCACTGATTTGATTGTTCGGCTAGTATGAAATGAACACAGCCAAACTGGAGCATCCCTTTATTCCCAATAGAAAATGTACACAGAATCAAATTACAGACAGTTTGTGAAGTAAAATTACAGACATTATTGTTAATTGCCCACTGGCCACTGCTCTGAAGATCCAGCACCAACTTGCTCGCCCTACGCTTCCACCTTTCTCCTTACTAGATGACCCGTTGCGCCAATGGCGCAAAAGCCGAGTGTAAGCCAAGTATTGAAAGAGTGTGCATTAACATATTGTTGTTCGAAAAGCATAGCTCTGATACTATAGGCAGCAAGCAAGCGATAGTCATGCACACAGGATTGTCATGGTTTGTTTTACATAAGATGATAAGATCAAAAATGATGCACTAAGTCATGTAGGAAAGGATTCTTGTGATCTGTTTAGATTTGATAGGAAATCATGCAGAGGCCTTTGGACGTGCAGTTGAAGACGAAAGCATATATTTTTTTATCATGGTTGTTTCAAAAGCATACCACACAGCAGTCTAAACAGCAAATAACCGATAGCTAAATGCACAGGATGATCTTAGTGGATTACATAAGATCCAAAAGGATGATAACCATAGAAGTCTTGGTAGGCACTTATACTAATATTAAGTTATATAACAAGGGGCTTTTGTAGTTTGCTTATATTGAGTAGACGATCAGGTGCATACCCCTGGAATTGCATTTGAAGGCGAAAGCATATGCTTGCCCTTTGTTCATGCTAGACGACCCGTTGCGCCCATGGTGCAAAAAGCGAGAGTGAGCCATGAAAGTGAGAGCAATTTAGAGCCAATTTAACAGATACTTAGTACACAACGCTATATATTTCATTACATGGTAGCATGATAGCTCAAAAGAAAGTTATGAAATCACTTGATATTGGCTTTATAAGACAAACTATTTTAACAAAGATGCATCATATAGGTAGAGCTGGTCTCTTAACCCCTAGCTGAGTCTTGTATCTGCTACCAACAGGAAAAACATGAAGGTGGTGATATTAGGTAGAGCCATCACGGCATGTTCCATCAATATTGACCATGATTTCATCGTCTAAACAACTCTTCATCTTTGGTTCCTGTAGACCAGGTTTTGATATTGTTGTCCTTCATTTTGCCATATACATTCCAAATCTTTTTTCCTGCCTGCAATTAAGCCATCGTCCTAAAATATATTAGTTCTCCCACACACACACACACACCATTTCCTTTGCCTCGGCAAAAGATAAATTGCAAACAGACAAATTTATGGAAAAGCACGTCACCCATATACATAAACATGGTTAGATTAATACCAGCACACAGGCATATCTATTAAATGTTTGCTCTCTCTCACTGGTAGCTTCTAACTATCAGACCCTCCCCTCTGCTGGTACTACCATCCATAAAACTCAATGAGACCTTGAGATCTACCGAAAGGCATAAAACCCCTACCTCATACTTAATACTAATGATGTCACATGCATCCTATGACAAAAAGAACATGCAGAATAGAAGCATGGTAGTAGTGAAATACTTTTTCATAAACCTAATAATGGCTAACATTAAAACGTGACGGTCGAAGCATTTCACATCGAGATATGTTGTCTTTGTTTCCAAAAGAAACCCCACCAAAACATAGTATTCTTGCTCTGGCAGTGAGTGAAACTGGAAAAGACAGCGAGGGAGTACAACAATCCCTTGGCTCACTCATGGTCGGATCCAATTAGTTACCATTCAAAATAAGTTTGTGCCTTTCGATTTGAGATATTGCAGTTGAACAAAGATAGAAGGTCAAAATATATTGCCCTTGGGTATGTGGAATAAAAACAGAGGCTGCTTGTGCAACTGGTGCAAGTAGCCAAAGCAAACCAAGCATTAAAATCTAAAACCATTATACTTAGATGGCATATTTTATTGATCCTGATAGCATTACGGTCCAGGCATACCAATGCAAGGAGATACTTAGATGGCGTCTTTATATATAACTGGCGCAGGCGTATCAAGCCTGATAATGGGAAGCACGATAGACTAAAAGCATGAACTTATATCAAAACAAAGCTACGAATGTAGCTTGCGGTGGATTATTTAATCCGACTTTATAAAGAAAACTACATGGCTAGCTATATCATATAGTGCAACTAACCAGCACATAAACAGAAGTGGAATAACTAACTATACAGATTTAGGATAAAATAAATTGATTATATTCTGCATACCACATTGGCAGATTGTATTGCCATTTAAACAATTAAAATGTTGAGCATCCGACACTTCTAGAGTAATTTTACTTGGATGCAACTGTTGTTGTTCCTTCGTAGCATCAATGTTTGGGTCAAAAGAATGTATATGGTGGTTGCCAAGTTCATACATACCACCTCCAATATGTCC